TTGCAAGTAGAGCATATAGGGTCTATGTTAATACCTATGTGGTTTAAGAAGTTTCTGGTTGGAAGCTTGTTATGAAAATTTTTCCAAAGTAGGTACTTAATTTTGTTAGGACATTTTGTGTCCCAAATCCAAGTGAAGTCCTTGTGGCAGATTGGTTGCTCCTCTAGGAGTCTGTAACAGGATTTGCTATTGAAAAGTCCATTTGAGGTCAAAGCCCAAAGGGGAAAGTCATAGAGGTTATTACTGATTTGGGTGGCTTTGATTTTATTGATGATAGTTGGTTCTAGGGACCTCGAGATTTTGGAGAAATCCAAATTGTTATTGTTCAAGATGTCCTTTATGGTAAGGGATTCATCTTGTAGGGTTAATGGTCCTTCAATATTATCATGCAGAGATGTGAGCTCAGGGATCCAACGATTGTGCCAAACACTCAGGGTAGATGATTTGTGAGGCATCCAAGTGATCCTTTTATTACAAATACCCCAACCTATAATAATACCATTCCATATAAAGTAATTGTTAATCACAGTATTTTTTGTACCATGGAGGCATTGTAATGTTTTGGCCCAAGGTGATTTGGAGTTGTGAAGGAGTCTCCAAGTAAGGTTTGCTAGATTTACTAGGTTTTTGTTTTTTGCGGAATGAATACCTAGCCGTCCTACCTTCTTGTTTTGAGTTATCTTGTCCCATTTTATAAGATGTAATTTTTTTGAAGTACTATTTGTTCCCCATATAAAGTCACGTTGAATTTTTTCAATCTTGTTAAGAATCTTAGTGGGGAGAAGGGTGTATTGCATTGAGTGGTTTGGGAGAGCATTTAGGCAGGAGCTTGCAAGGGTACATCTGCCTGCCATACTAAGAAGGTTAGATTTCCAAGTACTAAGTCTAGATACCATATTATCAAGAACAAATTGAAAGTCTTTGGCCCTAGGCTTGGAGGTTGTGATGGGAAATCCTAAGTATTTGCCAAAAGAGTTACTAACTTTGATATTAAAGGATTGTGAGAGGGTAATTTGTGTATTTTTAGGGCAATGTTTTGAAACAATGATTTTAGACTTGTCCTTGTTAATGGATTGTCCTGATAAGAGACAGAAGGAATTAATACACTCCTTAATGGCATTGATTGATTTTTTATTGGTGTTTGCCATTAAGGTCAGGTCATCCGCAAAAAACAGGTGAGATATTTGAAGACTGTTGTTACCAATTCTGATTGGGTCCCAACACCTTATGTCTACCTTATGGTTAATCAGAATGGATAACATTTCCATGCATAATATGAAGAGATATGGGGACATGGGGTCACCTTGGCGGATCCCTCTACTAGGTGAGAAATAACGGGTTCTAGTGCCATTAACTAAGATGGATATTCTACTAGTGGTGACACAACTCATTATAAGCTTTGTAATGTTTGGGGGGAATTTAAAGAATCTTAACGTTCTGTAAATGAAAGACCATTCCAAACGATCGAAAGCTTTTTCTAAATCAATTTTTAGAATCATATTGTGATTTTTGCCACGATATTTATTCATTTTGAGCATTAGTTCTTGAATGATAATGGCATTGTCACATGCTTTCCTATTTTTGAGGAAACTGCCTTGAGAAGGGCTAATTAAAAGGTTTAGAAAGGGTTTCAATCTGGTGGAGATAACCTTGGTGATAATTTTGTAGACAGTGTTGCACAGACCTATGGGTCTAAAATTTTTTAAGTTGTTTGCATTGGGTATTTTTGGAATTAGGCAGATCAACGTATCATTAATAGAACTAGGAATTATACCCGTTTTGAAAGCTTCTTGGCAGAGATTAGTTACTGAATTACCCACAATATTCCAGTAATTTTGAAAGAAAAAGGGGTGAAGGCCATCTGGCCCGGGTGCCTTGAATGGTTTGAAGGAGTAGCAAGCTTTGGTAATTTCAGCATGAGTAATAGGATCATCAAGGGAGGAGAGATTTAGCTTTGTGAAACATTCAGGGTCATTTTTAATGAGGTTCCAGTCACTACTAACATGGGATGAAGTGAAAGCCATTTCAAAGTAGTTTTTAGTATGACTAATAATGTCGTCAGGGTTATCAATCCACATACCTTGATCATTCTTGAAGTAATTAATCTTATTAATTCTTTTTCTATTCGTGGCCACAATATGGTAGAATTTTGTGTTAGCGTCACCTTCATTAAGCCAGTGAATTCTAGAGCGGAGTTTCCAGTAATCCTCCTCCATACGTAGAATATTATTGTACTCCTGAGTTAAGGATTGTTCTAAGGATTGGAGGAAGAGACTGTGGTAGTAGGACGGGGAGTTTTGGATACCTTTTAGTCTAGCAAGGATTATTTTTTTCTTTCTACCAAGGTCTCCAAAGACAGTGTTTTTCCAACTTATAACAGCCTTATTAAATATAGAAGCAGCCTTACTATACGAATTGTTACACCAAGAGTCATTAACTAAGGTTTTAAAATGAGGATGTTTACACCAGTAGGGCTCGAGCCTAAAGGGTTTATCAAGTAGGTAACCCCTTTTAGGAATGAGATTAATTAAGAGGGGATTGTGATCTGAGTGGGTCTTGGGTAAGTGACTAATAGAGGCATTAGGAAAAAATTGAATCCACTCATTATTTCCAAATACCCTATCCAAACGTTCTAGGATTAGGTCATTGTTACCAAACCTATTATTACACCAAGTATATTTACGACCTTTATAGCCTAAGTCTTGTAGATTACAATAGTTAATATTGTCCCAAAGTTTAAAGGCACGTCTACGATTGATGGGTCTTCCACCAATTTTATCATTAGCGGAGAAAATATCATTAAAATCTCCTCCTACTAGCCAAGGGATTTTATACGAATCAGCTATGTTTTTTAGATTATTCCACATATAGTCCCTTTTACTAATGTCAGTGCTGGCATACAAAGAAGAAAATAGCAATATGAAATTAGTAGGACCTACCTCAATTGTAGCATGAATTTCGTGGTCTCTACGTACGGCATTGTGGACTGTCACTCTCGTATGGTCCCAAAGGAGCACCATGCCTCCCCCTTGGCCATCCGTTGGGACCTCACTTGATCGTAGAAACCAAATTCGTGCAAGAGTGGTGCATGAACATGCATTCTAGTTTCAAGTAATGTGACCATGCATGGCCTATGAGTATCGATGAGTTCTCTAAAATTTCTTCTAAAGTCATCATTATTCCCCCCCTAATGTTCCAAATAATGAAGTTTGTAGCATTAAACATATTGATATTAGGGGTTTGGTTGTGACCATTTTCCAAAATGTCCCTTGTGGGATTCAGGAGGCTCTTCAGGGTTGGAACAAGTATCATTGCTCGGTTCCCCACTGTTGGGTCGTGGGGGGGACGAATGTCCATCAAGCACTTGACCAGACTCGTTGATCATGAGAGGATATGCCTCTTCTCTAGGTTTTCCTTGAACAAGAAGACCTTTACCTCGTTTAGGCTTCCCAATTCTACCACTGATTCCCCTATCAAATCGATTGGTTCTATCATTTCCTCTTCCATGTTGTTTCCTACATTTTGAGCTACTGGGGGATTGAGGTTGATGTTCTCCATAGGAACTTCCATGTTGAAGTTCTGTGGTGAGGTTGTTGGTAATTTTGAGGGGCATCCCATTGCATTAGGATGGGGTTCACAGCCGTTAGTGCTTCCGGTGGGAAAAATGGTAAATCTAGACCTAGGTTCTGGGGAGAATTGGGACAGGATTGAAATGAGGGAGAAGGTTCCATTGGCCTCTCATTTCTTTCACTAGGTTGGGGTTCAAAGCTGGGGCTAAGGGTTGTAAGATATTGTTCACCCATACATGATTCATGTAGTTGTTCATGGCCAAATGTAGACCTTCGGGACACAAGTTGAGCTAGGTATCTCGGGACGTCGATTTTTGTATTAGATAGATTTCTCTTTTCCCATTGAGGTAGCATTGAACATCAATACCCTCCCCATTAAGTATTCCTATCAGACAGTGGGTGGTGATCCTGGGGAAGTGGTGGTTGGACATAGACAATCGGATTGTTTGGATGTGTTGTGGTAGTGGTGGAGATTTTCAATGTTCAAAGCCTTTGTGGTCGGAGGAGCTGTATTAATCTGTATCTTCTCCGATTGTTTAGAGGAAGTCTCGGCATGTTGATGTTTTTGTTACTACTTAAAGTCGAGGGGTTTTGGGGAGTAAGGTATAATTGCATCTATGTGCATGCAATCCGAGTGGAATAGCGTATTTAGGATTTGAGTCTGGTTTTGGTAGATTTGGGGTGGGGATTTTGCATGGGCATCAATGCCACTTGTCGTGTAGTAATTTTCATGTCTTCATTTGTGTTGTTTTCACTGGACAAGTGTAAGGTAGTAGTAATAGGGTTTTTGTCTTTAGTGGTAGGAAGATTAGGTGTTAAATAAAAATGTTTGTTGGTTACATTAGGAGGCTGACTTGTCAATATTATAATTAGTGCTAATGTTGGTTGTTTGGGTGTAAGTGTTTTGTAGGGTGATTAGTAGTAGTAGCAGTCTTAGAAGGTTCCATATTACACGTGGACCTATGCATGTCTAAGTTAGTGAGTAATGTTTTTTTATTTTCAGTTTGGTTAGAGTCCAAAACCATGTGCTCATTGCACAACTCAGAAAAGCTATTTTCCAAGTGGAAACCATTGTTGTTCATGTTTGTGATGGTTTTGTTGTGCTTTTGCCATTTCAATATGGCTTCTGTCTCCTTGCTAGGAGAAGGAGTATTCTTAGATTTATTAACAAACTTGAACTTTTGTGTGTTAATATACTTACCCGTAGAGGCATTAAATAACTTAACGTTTATACCTTCCTCCGTGGAGTTGTTCATCCTTGTGGACTGCTTTAAACTGACTTCTTGTTTTCTGGAATGAGACAGTGTGCCAATCATACCTCATAGGTTGTTTTTGTAACGTTCTCAGTGCTCTGTAATTGGTTGAGTTTGTCTTCATGCTTCTCTCCTTGTTTCTGGAGTTAATCACCATCAACATTGGCCATTTGTGTGCCTAAGGACCCACAGTTTTACAGAGTAATTTATCTCCTTCGTACTCAATGATTTGTTTGTACTCGTCTATAACTATGAACTTGTCCACTGGTTTGTTTAATGGTAGTTCGACGCACAACCTTGCATATCTTCCCCGTAAAGTGGAGAAAGTACAGGCATCCACTTTCAATAACCTTCCAATAGAGTTGCCAATCCTTTGAAGGATTATTTTATCATAGAATTCAGTCAGTAGATTTGGTAGACGGATCCATACGGCAGTGCATATTTGTTTTGCATTTGCTGCCACAAAATTTGGCTTCCATTTTTGGCAACTTAAGAAAAAACCAAAAACAAACCATGGTCCTTTTTGTAGGACATGGTTCATACTTTCTGCTTTTCGAAGCTTTGCAATATAATAGTCAGACCCCAGATCGATCAATGGAAAACTATCATTTAGCTTCCACAGTTCTTCAACTTTTCTTTTAAGTGTTTGATGGAGGATCCGTTTGCCTTGTAACCTTATGATTATAGAATATTGCCAAGGCATGTACATACGTTCTTTATCCTCAGGAGAGAGAGTAATGCTTCCATTTTCGGACAAAAGAGCCTCTGCATTACTTGAGGATGGTTCAGTGTATTTAATATTTGGAAGAGGGATCATTTGTTCAAAGCTAATGTTTGCCTCTTCAGTTCCTTTAAGGAGTTGGTTCTTAAAGGAGGTTTCCTGGTTTTCGGGGGCTTTGGTAGTATAATTGGTGACAGTATTTTTATTAATTATGTCGGGTGGTTGTCGACGCCCCCTTTTTCCTCGCGGAATCGGGTTCACGACATTTGGGAAGACAACTCTTTTCCCACTTTGGGAATTGGGTTTTTTGAGAGTTTGGAGAGTCGCCACCTAATGATTATAGTGCATTAGGACACTTTTAGAAGAATTAAAGATGCAGACCAGAGTTTTGGGTAAGGGCTTGAAATTATCTCGAGGGGAAGGTGTTAGGCACCCCTCAAGATCCACTAGTGTGGTTTCCGGCCATGCTACAATTGTGACTTTAGATATAAATGTAAATAAACAAGTACAAGAAGCACAAAAGGTTAAAAGAAGTGCTGAATTTTAAAGGAGCAATTTTTGTAAAAAAACGTGCAAGTAGAGGAAAAGGTCAAGTACTTAGTGCAAATAATCCGAAAGATCATGCGAGAAGCAAAAATTGAAAATGCAATAGCTTTAAAGATTTAGAAAATTTTGTTAAACTAATAAAGAAGGAGAAAGGGGTCCTAGGTTTATACATTACATGGATCATTCACATAACACTGGTACTCAGTTGTACGCGGCGTGTTATCGTGTAATCATCATCTCCATGTGATGTTCTAAACGTCAATGCCACACAAGAGGGGGGGTGATTTGTGTGGTACCTAATTTTCGCGTTAGAAGAACCTGGTTCTTCTATGTGTTCTAACTACAGCAGTTTGCGGAATAATAAATACTGAAAGTAAAGTGCACAGAGATTTTTACGTGGAAAACACCTGGCTCAAAAGGTGAAAAAACCACGACCTACTAGGTAGGATTTTCCCAAACTCCACTAAAATCACTGAGCCAAAAACTGCATTTACAAAACTCTTTGTAAACCTAAGGATTAACTCTAATCCCAGTGTAGCACACAGCCTTCAACTGTTGCGACACTTTCAAGTTAACTCTATCTTGAATACTCAGAGTACCTAATACAATTGCTTCTAAGAAAGCTGAAAGGTACAATATGAAAACCTACTATAATTGAACTAGACTTAGAATAAACACAATGATGAAACTGGTTCTTCTATCTTAGTTCATGTAGCTTCAGACGTGCACACTTGTATCTCGCATATGTTGCTTGCAAATCAGACTTGATCTTTTTACTCTCAAATATGCTTAACTTCTGCTTATGTGCAATCACCTGTAAAAGAGAACAATCGTTATATTTATAGAGTTAGTAATCAGAGTTTGATAAGAACTCGAATTGTGGATCCTTTGACAATTCGAGTCCAAGAACAACTCTAACTCCTAATCCATATTCTTGATCCGGATGTAATTCTCTTTTCATAAGGAGACTTCAACTCCTTATCCTATATGCAATCTTTTCGATCAGTTCAGAAGATATTCATCAAGATATTGCTGCTTGATCTCAAGGACTTATCTTCTTCACGTGCATCTCATGTGTATGGGCCATAACAACTGTGTCTCCTTAGATGAACCTGGTCCTTCACTGAGTTCGTTTGTCATTCTTCAAAACTTCAACTGATCTTGGGCCAACAAATTCCCCCTTTTTGATGACGACAAACTCTATGCTTGTACTGATTATAGAACCTGTGGAACTCAGCTAAAATATCATCACTCGAAATTTTTTGCTTATCTTTAAGGGCCAGATTTAATTAGGTCATAAACATCACTGTTCAGAAAATAGACACAATTTCTTTTAAAGCACAATATCTTCCCCTTTTGGCATCATCGAAAAGTTGCATAAATATGTGAATCCCAGAATATTAATCATTACTCATGGCCACTGGGGCAACTGCAAGTGAAAGCATGCTTTAGATAATCAAAAATCAACTTGACAAAAGATAACTATTAAGAGCAGAATCATCACAAAACAAGAGAAATGCAAATTGTCATTGATAAGGCATTGCTTCTACAGTACAGTCCACAAAAAGAAAGAACAAAAACTACCAACCATGAGCAAAAACAAGAGAAATCCCTAATCTGGGTCACTGGGGGTAATTGAAAGAGTTCGGAACTAGGACAAAGATGGCTAAGGCTTAGAAGAACTGGAGGGTTGGGATTGGAGTAGGTTGAGCATTGTTTGTAGCATCCCTTCACTCTTTTCCTTTTCTTTTGCAAGTTCTGCCTTCAGCCCATTCCTTTCTTCTTCCAATTCAGCTACTCGAGCCTGAAGCC